CCTGCACGATATGTTCCATTTTTCGTTCTTGTGACAACTGGGACCAACTGGAGTATTTTAATGTGTTTCGATAAACTTTTTCAGAGACCATACCGATATTTTTCAATCGCCTTCAAAGTGGTTTTTCCTTGTCCGATCGCTAAAAAATTTTCACCAGTAATTGGCTATGGATTGAATCTTGTGAAAATGTAGTTTAAAGTAAAATCGATATTACTATGACAACAATAAACAAAAAACTTTGAAATTGGTAAAAGCCGAATTTTGTGTGATCTAGACCTGCTACTGAAAATCCAACACCAGGAACGTAAAGTTTGGTGTTTAGCAAACAATCTCCGCAAGAAGTAAAAAATTCTGTATGTTTGAATTCGACTAAAACGAAAATATATTTCAAACCTTAAATTTGCAATAACCGTGATAGATTATTTAATAAAAACGTTATAAATGACTCAAATTATTCTTAAGTAGCGTCAGAATACTGCTTAATATCATATTTTGATGCTTAGAAATTTTGGTGTACCCTCGTTCTTGCGATCTTGCGTTTTCTCCCACCTATATAAGTGTAACTTCATTCATAATTTGGACTTTTAGCGCTTTTTTGTATACCTTCGAAACGACTCTAACGAATTTTTGTAAAATCTCTTCACATAATCTTCATAATGCATATAAAAATGTCTGAAACTTTCATTAAGATTGATTCACTGCAACACCTTGAAATTGCAAGACAAACCTATCCTACGGACCGGTCAAAAATCTGCGTTACAACATTCAATGTTTTGACGTTATGCTAATTTTTCCAAATTAATGCGGACAATACATATATCCATGACTAGTACATTCCAGTTTGAGTATTGTCAATGTTTACATTCAAAAGATGCGATAAATTCAAACTAAAATGTACAAGTCGCGGAGGTATGTATAGTGCGCATTATTTTGGAAAAATTAGCATAACGTCAAAATATTGAATGTTGTAACGCAGATTTTTGACCGGTTCGTAAGATAGGCTTGTCTTGAAATTTCAAGGTGTTGTAGTTAATCAATCTTAATGAAAGTTTCAGACATTTTTATATACATTCACAGGTTGAAAAAAGGCGTTTCCGTTTCCGTTTTTGTAACGGTTACCTCACGGAAACCTGAATATCCGCAGACGGAATTGTAACTAACCGTTGCGGGAAACACGTGTATCCGTCATGTTTCAGTTTCTGATCTCGCTGGTCGGTGAATTACTCCCTCTCGTTTTCCGTTTAAACAGAGATGAAAGTGGCGATGAAAATTCCATAAAAAATATCAGAACGCATGGAAGAGTGCAACAAAAGTTACGGAGCTAACAATCACACATCCTTACTCAGTCATGCTCAGTCTCAGTCCTCGGGACTATTGAACTTTGGTACAACTCCCTTCCATCGGGTTGATGCTAACATTCCAATCCTTTTCCGTCTGCATTAAAAACAAAGGGAAGGTTTTTCACCTTTTTATCTATTTACAATGTGCACGAGTTGTTGGTACGTACCACACAAATTGGTTCCATATGTAAGCTCTGTAACATAATATTGACAACGACAAACTATGTAAAGAGAAATTACAGGAAGATCTATGGCAAACTATGAATAATCGGTCTTGTAATATTTCCCAACTCGCTGTTTTCCAGTTCAGTTCGTTTATTCACACTTTATATGTTTCCTAACTCAAATACCTTTGAAAAAGTGAGAAACATTCCAAACGAACTTACTTCAGTAGCTAGGTGCTCTTTTGTTCCGGGGAGAAGAAGGCTATATCCTCCATTCGAGGTTTTACATTTGCAGGTGATGCCCTTCTTCCAGAGACGATCTTTCGTTCAGGAAACAGTTTTGCAAATTCGGCTTTGAAGCGAACAGCTTTTCCTTATGTCAGGCCAAGCCTGCCAAAGATTGGGCATCCGCATCTCTTGTCATCAAATCCTTAATTCCTTCTTCGTTTAACAATTCTTCAGCTATAAGCTTAGGGCGGTTATAGTTTAGAAAATGAGCAGAAGTTAGATAAATAGATAATACTACATAAGCTTAATACTGAGGCCTTTTCCAGAGAAGCAGAATGTCTAGTATTCAACAGAGTCTGAGAGTAAGTTAAGCTTGAATAGAAGGGTGCCAAAGGTTATTTTATAACAAGACTAACAGAACGATGGAATAACAGATAGAAAGAAAACTGAACTTCAAATCACTGAATTGAAAAAATGAGGTCATACACAATAATATGACTTGAGCTTTCATCAAACATCAACTAATAAGCCTACACTGTAAATAAAAGTTAAGCTTAGATACCTTCGAAGGCCTTGGTCGTTTCATCTCCGAACATTTCTCGTACTTTGCTCTTCGCTTTCTCTGCGTTGTCTACTTTTGGATTCTCAAATTCATCTGTACTTGTACTGTCAGAATTGGCCATTTTGTACAAATAATTTTACGAAAGACCGAGTTTTCTGCCACCTTTCTGATAGTACCTTGGCGCGATCTCTTGGCGCCGAAATCCTCACTCGACCAGATCGTTTGCTGACCAAAACGTACGAGGGCTCGGAATTGCATCATGCGTTTTCGTCCACTTGATTGGCCAACATGTATTTTTGGCGCGGAATTTGTTTACCCGCGATTCTCTTTCATCTTACTATGGGTGTTGAAAATGGCGCATTATTATAACTGCATCGATTATGACTAGTACAGAAGGAGTAAGTTCTACCTGGTCGAGAGATGACATTACAAGCTGTGAGTGTAAAGAAAAGCCGTATAGACACGTTCACTGTCCTTGCTTTGGATGCCAAGGCAGAGCAACTGGCCGAAAAACAGAGCTTCGACATTGGAAAGAAACACATGAATTTGCGGTCGAAAATAGTTCCTACCAATCAGATGTTGACTCTGACGTTTTTCACGATATTCTGCTCGAACAAGATACATATGATAAGCTGTGTGGGGAAGAGAACGGAACTCTAGGAGACCCTGATTCTCCGCTAGTGGAACCGATTGAAAGTAGTGAACAAGAGGACGCTGATGACATAGATGTTGAAAAAAACCCTTTGAAAGAGAAAGTAGTTAAAGCTGTACTGGACGCTCTTAGAATAAAGCATCAAAGTGGGGAATCGGTAAGAACATTTGAGGACGTTTTGGAGTACGGAAAGAAACTGTTCTTTCTTTCTCTAAACGAGGATGTGGATGTCGAGGTTTTGACAACCTTATGGCCAAAAAGTTTGAACGATGTACAGTTGCTTTTAAAAGAGCAGGGATATGAAGATGTTAAAGAATTCTTTGTTTGTTTCTGTTTTGAGGAAAAGGAAATCACAAAAGATGGAAAAACTACAAAGAAAACTGTCTACCATGGCACATACAGCATCATGGATAGCAAACAAGGAAAATGTCCTTACTGTGGTAATGCAGGTTACATAAAGTATTTGTATTTAGGTCTCAAGAGTAAAGTGAAGAACTGGTTCAGAAATAAAACTATGTGTAACAAAATGGTTGCACATTGGATTGAGAAAGATCACTGGCTAGCAAATGGCGAAGATTGCCAATTAAAGAAAGAGCTTTGGGATGGGAAGCGGTGGTCAGAGCTCGAGTGGTTTTGGAACCCAGATAGTACATGGACTTTACCAACCTGTTGTGTACACTGTGACATTCCCATACCTGCAAACCATCTCATTAACTCACAAGCTAAAGATCAAGATGGGGATAGCAATGTGAAAATTAGAGACCTTTAGTTTCGAGGACGAGGACGACTACGAGTACGAGATTTGACTTAAAGTTTTTTCGCGTCTTTTCAAAATATAGACTTCCCGGAAAGCTTCATTTTACCATTTTTTCACTAAAAAAGTTAGCATTGTTATCTTTCGCGAAGAAGGTTACGTGCTCTGCGGATCGCAAAATGATAAAACTTCTAGCATTTGATATCTTGTTTTCGCCACCACGACATTTGCGCGAAAACTTGTCGTAGAATGACGACGGCTACCACATTTTCCCGCCAAAATGACGCTGGCTCACGCGCGTGCACTACTTAGTATTGAGAAAATCTCGTACTCGTAGTCGTACTCGTCTTATAATCTAAAGCTCTCTATTGTTGAGTGTCCTGTTTGTCTTGAACAATTTGAACGCCGTATTAGAAAGACAAAAGGCTCCCCATCAAACTTGGCTCTTGTGGGGCACTTTGATGGCTGGCAGCCATTTGGTTCAAGCTACAGGGGGTCTGGATCCTTTGAAGTTTCTGTTGCTAACATGAAAAAGGCTGAAAGAAATCACGTGGAGGAAGTTTACGTGGTTGGTTTTGTGCCTTGTTCCCAAGTTCCTAATCTACCAAATGGATTGGACCTTTTCTTGCAGCCTCTAATGAATGATCTGTGTCAGGGATTTACTGAAGGTTACAAAGTGAACTACCCTAAAGGAATCACAATTCCAGGTTTTGAACCATCTAATGAGGAGAGAGTTCGATTGCTTTTACTGATGTGGACAGCTGATCATCCTGGTCAATGCGAAACAGGGAAGTTTCTTAACCAGGGTAAATGTGCATGTCGCAGATGTAAACTGGTCGGTCAACATCTACAGAATAGCTCAAATACACACTATTACTATGGACAGAATCTCTTGCATTTTAGACACCCTTGGGGAGAGAGGGTCATTGAATCAGAACTTGAAAATATTTTTGATATTGAGAATGAAACAAGACCAAGTGTTCGGAAAAGAATGTCATCAGAAAAAGGCTTTACCGGACTGTCCCTTTTTCACAAGTATCTTTACCCCCTTTATGGATTTGACATTTTGAATCATTTTGTTTTTGATGTCTATCACACAATTCCGCTGAATGTGGTCAAGAATCAGTTGTCTAGAGCTTTGCAGTTGGAGATGCTTGACAAAACAGAGCTTGATAAACAAATTGGTAACTTTCCATGGACCGGTGAATTTAAAGATGGTAGACTTCCAAAACAACTGGGTAAAGATTGCAAAGGTATTGGATATTGAAAAGCTGCAAGTTTCCAGAAATTTTCATTTCCAATGGCAGAATGCATTATGGAAAGCCAACTTACTGATGCTAAGGAATATGAAAATTGTCTCCCTTATAGCAAGATTGACAGAGCTGCACTTTCATGATGGAAGGAATGGATGGACTCCTGACATGATTAAATGGCACCAGAAATTGGCATGGCGGTTAAATAGATTAGTGGAAGAAGTACAAGGGTTGGCATTGTGTACCATCTCGATGCACAACTTACTTCATATTCATGAAGACATCATAAATTTCTCAGCCTCGGATAATGTTTGGTGTGCAGTGTATGAAAGAGCTGTTGAGGAGTATGTAAAGAAGTCTCACAATGGAAAAAACATCGAAGCTACATTTGCCCATGTAGAGTCAATAAGAGAGTACTCAAAATCAGTGGAGGAAAAAGAACAAACTAGCCTTGGAAAGCATGATGTTTTACTGGTGAGTTTGAAACTCTTGACAAATTCTCATAGCCCATAAATTTTTGTGAATAAAATAACATTATAAACCTCTGAATTTCCCCTTCCCTTGTTCTATATTATCATTTTTATTATTATTATTATTATTATTATTATTATTATTATTATTATTATTATTATTTTTATAGTGCAGATATAATTTGCTGTTCAAGAGTGTAACAAGTTCTTGATATCCAATGTGTCTTTTTCGTGTTTCTTCATGTAGGGGATAGCTTGCTCAAGGGAAACAGCCAAGGCACTGTGTGAAATAGAGCCTCCTGCAAGGGATGCTTTTCTCATCGGTTCAGTGTCAAACATTAAGCCTCTTACTATGGGTGACCAAGACAAGATAGCTGAACTGTTGTGTGTACCTAGTTGGAAAGTTCCAGAGGCCACATTTGTTTCAAAGAGATGTTTTAAACCAGACATAGGTTTTAATGGCACTTTTTTCACTTTTGGTGACAATGTCATAGTGTCCTCAAATGGACAAGAACATATAGTCCAGCTGCAAGGATTTTTTTCTGTCAACACTGATGGTAACTTGAACAGTTTATTAGGTCATGGATTTTTTTATCCATTGCATCTTACAGAGACTGGTGTAGCCGACACCCACTATTGGAGTGGCTTTGTTAAGGTTGAGAGCCAGCCAAATTCAAGGTCCGTAGTGTTTAAAGTTGCCAAAATTTCTCGGAAAGTTGTTCTGTACCCATACAATGACAATTTACTCACAGTGGTAGATTACATGCGTCATCATGAAAATTGTCCTTGTGAATTAATCGTACCTGTTTATCCCGAAAGAGGGGACATGATTCTTGTTCCGGGTGAGTGCAGTGGAGACATTTGGCATGGTCATGTACAAAGTGTAGATTTTGTCAACAGAACGGTAGATGTCTTCTTTTTCATTCCAAGTGGGAGACTTACTCATTACAATACATATGTGAGGGAATCACATGACAGGTCAGCAAGGAATGTTGTGGCTTGGGATTCAATTATTGGAACTGCCGAAGGACACTGGAGTAATACTTCAACATGGGTGAAGGCAACTTAAAAAAATATTGAATATTGTAATTAAGGCAAAATACTGACTTTCTGGTATAAGCTCATAAGGAAATGTATCAACAACGCCATGAGCAGTACAGTATAGTATCCAACTTTTAATTTGATTTGATGTTTCTGTCACATGTTAATTTGGTTATAAACTTACATGTTATCAAGTGCATGCACTGAATTACCATACTCCTGGTTTTCAAATAAGCCAATGACATTTAACTGTTTGGTTCTTAACTTGGCAGATACGATGTTTGGAAAATTAAACTTTTTAAACATTATTTGTACACTATGTGTGTTGGTATTTCAAGAGCAATCTGTCATTTCTTTCAAAACTAAATTCAACATTTGGGAAGATTTACTAGTTACCAAGCATTATGTGTTTGAAAAATATTATTCTTAATCCTTTTCTGTTTTTGGATTGGAATTTATTCAATATTTCCCATAAAAGAATATAATTATTGGGCTAACCCTTACATTGTAATGCTATCACAAGATTATTGTATTCTTTCCCACCCAATAGTCATGAGAATAACAAATCTAGATTTAATCAAATCCTTTTCGAAGGTGGGGATTTCTTGTCCCTTTCATTTTCCAAAATTGGGAATAACATGTTGCAATATTCCCAACTTGTGGAAAAATAGCCCCATTATTTTCCCATATTTTGGGAAATAAACCCAATGGTTTCCCAATGTTGGATCTTGGAATCTATATTGCATACTTTCCCACACTAAACACGGCATCGGGAAAACGTAACCCTTACTTTAACCAACCCTTTACCAGGGAGGGGATTTCTTGTCCCTTGCATTTCCCAAAATTGGGAATAACATGTTGAAATATTTCCCAACTTGTGAAAAAATAGTCCCATCATTTTCCCATATTCTGGGGAGAAAACCCATTGGATTCCCAACATTGGTATTATAAAAAAAATTTCTTTTCATTTCCCAAAGTGAACCCAGCATTGGGAAAAATAAACCCAAACTTTTACCAATCATTTCTCATCGGAGGAAAATGTTGTCCCAAACATTTCCCAATAATGGTAAAAATTCCCAACACTTTCCCAGTTTGGGAATTCCAAAAAGTTTCCTGTGAGTGCCCTTCGAGGGCCATAAGAGTGCGGTGTCATTTCCTTTCAGGGCAATCTGGGACGCCTCCATAGAAGTCCGTTGGACGAATGGCCACCAATACGGGAGTGGTCCAATCTCAGGAGCCACGAGCGTGGCAACGGCGTGATAGTCTTGGAGATGCTTGAGTACAGGCCCTACCAGGTGGATAGGGGGCAAGATGTATCCATTTTCGATTTCACCATTACGACTCTGGCGGGATTTTGTGCGAAAAAATTAACACCAATTGAAGAGGGTGTATAACAGGGAGTGTAGTGTAGGAGTGGGTGGGACTCCTTGTCTAGTTGACTGTTAGAGTCTAGGGCCATGAGGTCAATCGTATGGCCCTTAGGACCACCATAGGTGCTCTGGAGATGAGACCAAAGGCGAGGACTCAGCATTACATCGTTGTCCGAGGCACAGCGAGATGGGGCGTCGTCCGGATTTTCCTCGCTGGGTATCAGTTCCAAGTGAAGTGAAATGTTAAGCTCTAAAGTTGCCTCAAGTAGAAGTTTGACAACCCCGTTAACAGTTTGGTTGTGAGATCCTTGACCCTCCCAAGCGTAGTATAGGGTGCTATTGTCCACTTGGGCGTCAACTCTGCAGTTCTGGAGCCTTGCTTGGAAGGATCTGATTGTGTAAAGCAGGGCATAGCTCTTTTAACTGCGATGTCCGTGGACGTTTTCTCGCTGTTAAAGTAATCACCTGCAGTTCGGACTCCTAGGGGGGTAGAAAAAACGCAACCCCATTGGGCGAGGGATGCGCCAGAGAAAATTACCTTTACTACGCTGTGTTCTTCCTTCCGCCACGGAAGACAACCTCCCCAATGATCGATAAAACGCCAGTGCTCTACCTGCTGACGGAGATCACCGATCATCGGAATAGGCTTAGCACAGTGACTGAACTGGGATATAGTGCACGCTATCTGACGAGTGTAGAGTTTCGCCGCGGGAACCATCAAACTGAGAGAGATGCATTTCCCTTGAAACCGTTGAAGGGTATTTAAGGAGACCGTTCTCTCGAGCAAAATTGCATCGCGCAAGGTTGCAAATTTTTGTTTTTTGTTCTCTGGCATAGAGAAGGTTTCGCGAACTGTATCGACCAAGTGCCCCAAGAAAACGAGTCGTTGGGTAGGTAAGGCAACCGACTTCTTGGTATTAATGAAATATCCCAGCTCTGTAAGTACTGCAATTGCAAGGACTACGCCTGCCATTGCGGCTTGGTAACTAGAGCGCGCCCCGGGGACGGGCTCCCACATTTCGCCGAGATGTCTATCATCAATATACAGTGAGGAAGGGACACCGATCTCTCGAATGTAAGAGGTGGCGATGGACCCGAGGGTCTGATAGATGTAAGGACTCTCTTCCCATCCCCGGCAAAGCGTGTTCCACACTAACCACCAACTACCCCATTCGGCGCCCACAAGGGTTCGACTATCCTCAGATAAAAGAAAATGATCGAAGTCGGACTTGTCATCTAGTTTAGTGTGTAAGAATCTTTCCCGAGGTATCTTGGGAGATTGAGAACTTGGTCCAGTTTGAAGGGGTAATGTTTCGTAAAGCAGTTAAGATATTGCTGGTCGTGAACCAAGCGTGGCTTGGACGGCTCGATACTAAGTGGCATGACTATTCGGGGAGGCGGGATTTCCCCTACCCTCCCGAGCACGGTCATAGCGCGCATGGCGATCTTCTTTTCGATCTCGGTGGAGATAACTTGAGCATGGGGTATACACGACTTATTAATGGGAAAAATTGCATCAGGAGGGAAGCTATGGTGATAGCTCTTTCGGCGATATGTACCATGAAATGGAACAATAAACTGATGAATATTGATCCCGTCTTTTATCCAGGACATGATTAGGTCCTGTTGGGGGTTATTCTGAGTCAAATATTCCCAGCCGGACACATGTTTATGCCGTTCGCCTGCTAGAAACGATCCGGAATCCCTAACCCACATATCAGCGAGGGGTGTGTCGAGAAGACCTTTGGCAATCATCTGAAATGGCGGGGGCACAGATGGGACAACAGGTCCTCCCTCTCCTTGGGGCCAGCGTATCCACTTAACTCGGCGTTGCTCGTAAATGCGGGTCGCAGCCACGGGGTTAAACGTGGTTTTCAGCTCCCATGCAGGAATTACATGGTCGAAGTGTGAAAGGAAAGGTTAAAGCTATGAGGTTTACTGTTGTGAACAAGGGGCCCCGAGGGGAGGAAGTCTGTCCCATCCGGCGGCTCAGAGAGCGGCACAGGGTCTCTCCGTTAGAACGCGGAGGCGACCTGGATGTGGCAGACTTCCTTTCGGGGTCCCAGCAGGACAGAATAAAGTAAAGTAGTCCACAACTATGGGTGCAAGTCATCTGACAAATGTACTTTATTGATCACTCTAAAATAAAGTAACAAGACCAAGCATTCGAGTTACATTTTTCTTTTGCAAGGGCAATCTCAAGCGAGATGTCCCTGCTCCCCACAGGCATAACAGGATCCAGAACGGTCAACGCGAGGACGCCTAAACGGGTGCGGTCGGACAGGTCCCCTGAAGTACTGAGAGGAACGGGATCTCTGCTCGAAACGACGCACAACTTTATCGGCCTCGATTTCGGCGGGCGTAGCTAAGATGTTGAATAGAGCAGAGCGGACGTCTAGGGAGTTCCCTGTTCTTTGAGAATAAGAGATCCTCTCCTGGATGGCAACCAGCTTATCTCTGTCTTCGCTCTTTGCCAGTGTGGCCTCGTCTTTAAGGGAACGGAGCTTCGCCACGGCTGAATTGCCGTTAAAGTCGAGGGCCAGGCAATATGCCTTCAGTTCGGCCTTTAGGTCGTTATAACGCCTTTGGGGATCCGTTCCCTGAAGTTGACTAACTTGGGAACGCAAGTCTTTTACCATAGCAGAGAGCTCCTATCGGGGAAACAGGAAAAGCAAGGGGAAAAACGAATAAAATAACACTGAATTACTTGGTCACGGAAACCGAATAGTCCCAATCCAGTTAAGTGAATAAACGAAGATCAAGAGCGGTAAGAGTAAGGGGGTTACCTCAACAATGGCCTTCGACGGACTTACAGATCTACTGGTAGTATTTGGAGTAGACGTAGCTGCCGTTGTGGACGGAGACGGGACTGTTCCCTTTGAGGTGGGCGTTGGAACTGACGTTCCAGCGGTAGATTTGGCCGATGGGAGAGTACTATTCATGTTCTGGGAGCCGCCTACAACGTAAACACAACCTAGCACATGGCCTGCACATGCGCCACAGCAACATACCACTGGACAGGAATCTGCTCCCATGCTCACGAACAATGGTGAACGCTACAAACGCAAACATAGTCACGCAACAGCGCTACAGACGGCCAACACGCCAGCAAGGAACGCCAAAAACCCTAGATACCATAGCTCCTAGTCCTTAACTACCTTAAATATGATTTAATAGTATTTAACGCCCGCGTTGCAAGTGGAGGTTGGGTGCCCATGGGCCAGGGGGCTGCAACCGCAATAACACCCCAAGGCGGAAAAACACCCACGGACCTACCAACCCGCAACCCTGCCACGAGCCCCAGACCCCGAGGGCCCAAACTTGAGGCACCCAACCCCACGGCAGCCCCAAAGGTAGTGGAGGTACCTGCTAAGCAACCAGCTGTCTGGACACGTGGACGATGGAGCTTAATGGAGTGCGAATATAAATCTGGTAGGAATCGCTAGACCACCAGCCAAGGGTCTTGATCAGATAATCCGGAACTCCCCAGGCAGCAGCTGTAGTTGCTGCCCCAATACGGAAGCTATGGCCTGAATAGGAGCCAGTATAACCAGCTGAGTGCAACATAGACTGAACTGTGGATGACAACCGTTGCCGAGTAAGAGAGCGATCGTCACTAAAAGTGAAGAGAGGATCTGAGAACCACGCAGACCCAAGAAGTCGCCCAAGGCACGGATGGGACACACCGATCCTTCACCACGCCCCACATATATATCACAGCCCATGCGAAACGAACCAGTCTTCGAGTACTTGATATGAACTTTAAGACAGGTAGGATTCACCAGGGAATCAGCTTGCAGGTCATCAACAGTCATATGGATACTAGGCTGAAATGCAGAATTCACCGTAAACTTCGCAGCTCATAAGAAACTGAAGAAATCCAAACAGCATGCCGCCCACAGCATCACATGGTCTCTCCTGGCGAAGTCCAGTCCACGTTGAATTGCCCGCAGATTATCCAGGGTGATAGGGAAGTGATGGGGTGATACTGGACCCTGAATCCGCTTTATTCCCCTGAAAAAACGCTGCATGCGAAGGCAGTTGATGAAAGGATCCGACAAGCCATGGTCAATGTGAGGGGAACATACTGCTGTCAGGTATATTTTAATGGATGCGTGGGTCAAGTTGTCGGCCAAGAGTGAAGCAAAGCGCACGAGTCTCCTCATCGGCGGGAGCCATCGCTGTTAAGGCGACCATCCCGGCGTCAAAAGTCAATATAGCGATGTTAAGCAGAGGTAAACACACTGGGTGGAAGGCGCGAGTCGTCGGGGTAGCAGAAACTGATACCTCTGGGTCAAGATGTCTAATCACACAGGGAGTTGGATCGGCTTGAGGCGCCAGACGACAAAAATGCTGAAATTGAAAGCGTGAGAGGGAATCAGCTACAAGATTGGCCATGCCCCGAACTGAAGACGTAGTAAGCATGAATGAATGGCGTATGGCCAGCAAGGATAAATGACGCAGCAGCCCCATCAAGTGTTGGTCCCGTGAAGAGCCAGACTTAAGTACAGCCACCACTGACTCATTGTCGCAGAGGAACTCAACCCGCCGATAGACCCACTGAGAACCCCATAAGGTGGCGGCTACAAGGATTGGGAAGAGCTCCTTGTGCGCGATTAATGACGACCTTTGCTCCATAAACCAAGCGCTGCAAAATCACTGGGTGTTAAAAATAGCCCCATAGCCTAGTGAGCCGGCAGCATCAGAGGAGACTTGGAATTCCGGGATGGGCGTCCACATGGGCATGCAAAAGAAACTGGGGCCATCTTAGGTTTGAAAAAGCTCCCGCCACCAGGTAAGGTCCCGACGGAATTCTTGGTTTAGCCTAATGGGGTGATCGTCCAGGCGGAAGGCACAAAGCAAGTCAATCATCCGCCCTTGTGGGGCAACCTTGCATATGTGATGGAGGTGACCAATCAAGGATTCCAACTCCTGCCTCTTACAGAAACGCTTGGTGGACCACTCTTCAAGCAACGCAACAATCCGGTCTTTTTTCTCAGTGGGCAGGCGATCCTTGAAGCCTATCGGAGTCAAGTTCAATCCCGAGGATAGTTAAGCAAGTCGCAGGTCCCTCTAACTTGTTAGGATGAAGGGGAAGGCCAAGCCTTTGGCAATGGCGAACACAGGTAAGTAAATAGGAGTGGCAGAGCGTGGATGACGATGGACCAAGGATAAAACAATCATCCAGGTAGTGGCGTAGTCCACGCCGTAATTATGAACCAGGTACACAATAGCAGTGAAAATAAACGGCGCTGAACGCAACCCAAACGGGAGAACCATATCGACAAAGTACTTCCCACGCCACTACATCCCAAGTAAGGGGCGATCGTCGGGATGGATAGCCACATTACGGTATGCACTGGCCACATCAAACTTAACCATCAGTGCTCCGCGACCCCGGGCCGTGATGCCCTCAATGACGGCATCGACTGAAACATACTGCACTCTGAAGGGAGGCTCGGTAATGCCATCGTTCACGCTGTGCCGAGCGGGAGAGGAGAGGTCGAGGATGAGACGCCATTTGCCTTTTGTTTTGTTCTTGGAATGACCCCAAAACGGCTGATATGTAAAGAAGGAAAAGGATGAACTGAAAACAGCCCGGCCACCCTGCCAAAGGACACTTCGGCCTGCAAGTACGAGTCTATCACAAAAGGGTGCTCGAAGGAAGAACGCATGTTCGATAAAGCGGACTTAAGATTGACCGTGGACGACTCAAAGCCAATACGAAAACCCTCGCGTATTCCGGAAAGCACATAGGCCACTGCTGCCGGGTCTGGATGATGCTGCAATTCTGTTAGAAATTGATCCAGCCACAGTGGAAAGACCTGGAAGGCCGGGGCAAATGACGAGAAGGAACGAACAGAAACTGCCACGCTGGGTATACTTACTGGAACTATAACAGAACGAGACTTGACCGAGGAAAGCAGATCATGCTGCCCCCTGGCGACGCAACAAAACTAATTACACTATGTACACAAGCCTCGCCGGGCATAACTGCCCATTCAGTACCATCCCCCTCTCCCCCCGGGTTGGGGAGACCGGGATCGTGCGCCAGAGGAGTTGGGAAATGGACAGTTGATCTGGGTGTGTTCACCTTCACAGTCACTGCAGCGGTGTCGATATTTGCACCTCCTAAAGGGCCAACGGCACTGCCCGTCGTTCCATGAATGGCAAAAAGGAGGAACCAGGCTGGTGTCACGGGAGGCGGCAGGAAATGGAGCTGATGTCGTGGAAGAAGACGACCAAGATCGCGGGGGGGCGGGGGAGCCAGGGCTGGAGGCCTTTAGTAAAAATTGTATCGGCCTAAGTTCATCCTAGACCAGTCACTGACGCCAGAGGCAGCCGCATCGTTTCTGAACGCCACGTCATACTCTAACCAGGCTGAACCAGAAAAATGACGAGCCGTTTGAATGATGAGCAGCTTATACTTGAGCAGATCGGGCCAACGATGAGTATGAGCTGCACACAGCACCATCTGAAAAATAGTGAACGCTTCGGTCCAAGTCAAAATGTCTTATTTCCACTTGCCCGCGTTTTGACGAGGAAACCATGAGTTATTGCTCCAGTGATAAGATATGAGATGACACTCGTTCACGTACTGATGTTTATTTCTTTTCTTAACCTTACTTCCATAAACACCGTGAGAACTAAAATAAAGGTAAGAGTATTTTACAAATAAGGTTGTGAAATTACGGAAATACATACATTTTATCCGTGAAAGTAACAAGACGGAAAGGTGAAAACTTAAGATTGCC